CTTTAAGGGGTAGTGAAGGCATAATTTGAGTTTCTGTATGGAAATGGTAATGCAACTTATAATGCTAATGATATGTATGCCGTAAACATTAAGGAGCAGTTAAGGCTGCTGTTCTTGTTCGATTCCATTTTATTGTATGTTCAATTGTTTGGAATTGTTGAGAGATGGCATGAAGGAATTGTATGATTGACTGATTGGCATGTTCCATTATTTGGAACTGCTATTGAGGGGAATGTTTGAAACTACTGTTGAGAGAAATGGAGCTGCTAGTGAGGGATTTATCTAATTGGCATGAAGGAATTATATTTTAATTGGTCTACATGTTTAAAGTAGCTTGGATGGGGTATATTTAATTATTTGTTAAACATAAATGCTTACAGGTTCGGTGAAAACTGCTTTTCATAATGACTCTTCATTTCATTCCAATGCATTCCAATCTTTTTTGTTTCAGCCGTGAGAAGCATGATGTTCATTAATTATTGCTTAGATTTATTTTTTTATTTTTTATTTTTTATTTTCTCATGGCCTACTGCACTTTCCTACCCATAAATCTAAGCAATTTGATGTACTGGCTTCTGATTTGGCATAAAACAATTTGTGTGTAATACATAATCACAAAGTCGTTTTTTGTTTTTTTGCAAGAGTTTAATTTTTTTTGAAGATTTACATGTATACCAGTCAATTCCTATGTAATTTACATATCTAACAGCTAAACGTCAATTTTTATACATAAACCACCTTACCTATGCATAAAATGGTGGTATTACTTATGTTATATGAAAGATCTGGGTGCATACATGTAAAAGATAAAGTTCAGAAGTTGGTAATGTATGTAAATGCCCTTTTTTTTAAATTATAGGAGGGTTAACATAACATTAAATTTCAAAAATACGTGGTTCAATTATTTCACCATTTCTCTATTTTTTTCAGGAGCTGTTCTTTTTTGCTGGCATCGAGCAATGACTTTTATTTCTCTGACATTTTCGTCATTTGTTTTGTTTCTTTATGCTTTATATTTACCTCCAAGCTTGTAGAGTGCTTTGTTTCCTTTAGATCTTTTCCTGTTCAGGCTGGTCGAGAGATCCGAAGAGATGTGATAAGTGTAGGTGATTGCATGTTTTAAACTTTTCTGACACCAACAGAAGGAAGTTCAGCTTTTGTTGGGTGCTTTTATTTCCAGTGCGTTATTTGTGGGGTGCAAGTGAGTAGTGTTATGTTTAGCTCCAGCTTTATTTATTAATTGGTCTTGGACTTGAGATTTTTTTTTGTTATATCTGCCACTTACTGATTTAAGAGTTTGGTTTTAAGTACATATTACAAATCCTCTATTCTGTTCTTTTCTGAAGCAATGTATTTCGGCTTGGAACATGTATGTTAAGCTTAATTATGAGTCTTACATTTTTTAAATTTGAGCACTAATGTACTGTTAAGTTTAATTATGAACGAAGCTGAATTTTTTGAAAAAAGCTGACTCTGCGATTTGTTTTATGGAATCATGAGTATCATAGAGGCAGATAATGCTTATATTAGAGTTTATATTAGCAGCTTTGAGCATATTTTATAATTAATGTGGATATATTGCTTTATGCTGGTTAATAGCTTCACCTCTTATATGGTGGATATCAGTGAAGAAGTTTGGACGACCACGTAAATTTGTTGTCTGCAATCGCTGTCTCCACACTTGGGTAAGTTTACTATTTATATTTCCTCAATTTTTGGACTGATTTATTCTAATTTTAATAATTGCAGGATGATAAGTTTCAGACATTCAGGGAAGTCCGAGAAAGTGATGTGTCGTTGCAGACTACCGTCCTTGCTAGTCACGTCACACTAGACACATAGCTTCGGGAGGCAGTTTTACAGGTGTCCGCGATGGGGACAAGGACCGGAAGACTGCAAATTCTTCAGATGGGCCGACAATGCAACTGTTTCTACGATATCCCAATTGGACATAACTGCTAGGAGTTCGATAGTACCACAACGGGAGACCACCGCATATGGGTCGAGTTCTTCCGTATCTACCGCACCCCAGTCGGGCAGGTTTGCTCAGGGTTTTGCTCAGGGTTTTGAGGAATCAGAACCGGACAACATTCGTCATGATGTGATTTTACATTTTAAAGTCAATATTGCCATATTTTTCCTTGTAATTTTAACATGTTTTTTTTTTCTTTTTTTGGGGGTCTTATTATAATCAATATTAGTGTGTGATTGCGTAATGAACTTTCATATATGTCACTATGCTTATTTGATGTAATCAAAACTTTTTTGAGTTATATAAATATTATTAAACTTTTTTGCATTTTCATTTCTTGACATTTGAGAAAATAACTTTCTCCTATACAAATTATTCATGCAACCAAAAAAATTTCAAAATAAGTTGTTTACAAAACGAACTAACCAAACAGTTAAACAACTTATTCAGAGCAGGGGCAAAATGATCAATTTTCCAGAATCACTAACCAAACAACCAGACAACTTATCCGGATCAGCTGGTCATCAGCAGATTATCAGGATAAACTACTTATCAGCAGAAGCTGGATAAGCTACAGCTGCCCCAAACAGACCCTTAATCACAACTATATGAGTAAAAATTAGAAATATGACATTATGTTAGATTTTAGACGTAAGAATTTCAATCAATTTAATAAAATTATAATTAATCTCAAATTCAGAATGTTAAGATAATTATTTAATTAGTGCTTACAGTCAATTAGTGTAGTTTAAAAAGAATAATGAAATAAATGAAATACGTAAAACTTAATTAATTTGCCAACATATATAACCTCTAAATAAAAAAGGTTAGTGATCTTATAAAAAAATTAGTTAATTAATAATGAAATAATTAAAAAGCAAATTTAACAAACTAGATAATTTACATAATTTTATATGTAAATTTATATATGACCACATCATAAATTCACATAAATTCATAATCATAACAATGAGCTAATTAAACATACGATCACAAGAAAAATAATATCAAAATAGTTAGCAAATAAAAATATATAATAAAATAGATAAAAAAATTCAACCCAAATAATATATAAAAAAATAATTAAATATTTATTTTGAATATATTTAAATTAAGTCTGAATTAATTTTAATCGTGTTCAACATTTTCAAAATTTTCCATAAATCAAACTTAATAACTAATCCATATTAAATATAATTATAACAAACTAGATAATTTATTCATGGAGCTTGACATCTTCACTTCAATTTTCCTTTGTAGATTGCAACTCTCCTCTAAACGAAAAATTATTCTCAGATCTTCACCGTTGATCAGCTTCCATCAAATTTTTTTTTTTTGGTTAAAAAAAAAAAATGAACCCACCGAAATACAACATTGCTCTGATCAATGGTGGATATCGGACGACACATGAATTTCTGCATACGTCGTTCATATGGAATAATTTTTCCCTCCAAACACTCAAAATTACTTCACACATCTTTTTCATATTTGCTAGAGATATATTAACTTAAAAGAAAATACTTAAGAAATCATTTTAGATAATATCATAAAAATTTTACAATCATTTAATCAAGAATGAGTTTCACATGAATCACCATAATTTAAAGACTAAAAGGACAGCCATGACCTTCTAATGATGAAGAACATAAAATTTCATCAAGAAAGAGAGAGAGAGAGAGAGAGAAGTGTCATTCAAATAAGTAAATAAAAAACACTTAAGAAAAATATGCAAGATTCTTCCATTTTTCTAAGATAATTTAGAATCCAACAAAGTGTGACAAGGAGCATGACAGTGGCCACAATAATTCAAAGGAAAACATTAAACCTAAACCTCAAAATGGACGCACGGACTAGACCTCATTGGCCACTAACGAGATTAAAAGCGACCACATTTGTAGGCCCAAAAGCTAAGAGCTGCTGTCGGTGCTAGAAGAAACTGACACCTCCATCTAAGGTGGGTCTTAGGCCAAATTTTGCTAGCCCCATTCAAGCTGGCTATATAATATATATATATATATATACACACACACACACCACGTACACACCCACACACACACACACACACACACACACACACACACACACACACACACACACACACGCACAAAGAGAGAGGTGGAGAAAGCTAGAGCGAAAGAGAGAGAGAGAGAGAGAGAGAGAGAGAGAGAGAGAGAGAGAGAGAGAGAGTATAATTCCCAAATTCAGATAAGTTTACTTGCAAATAGGATCACTGCTACTTATTCAGTTTAATTCGAAAACAACTTATGTCTTGGAGCAAAGAACATGGAAGGCATTAGTTCTATATTTTGCCAATACCCTAAAAAATAATAGTGCAACAGCTGGATTTGAAAAATGGAATTGTTATCTTTCTAAGACAGTTACCATGCTTTCAAAACAACCAACAATAGCCAACTGTACTCGCATCCACAAGGAATAATGTGATATGAGTTCCAAAAAATGTAAGGAGACATTGAATGCAACTGTCAGTTGTCCTACACAAGTTGCTCATACGAAATATAATATGGTCGAGTTCAATTAGTTATTTAAAACACAGATGAACAGTGACAGATTATAAAATTCAATAATGCAGCATGCGCAGCTCTGCAAACAACCAAATTGCAAATCCCATTCATCAGAAACATCTACAAAAAAGCAATCATAAAGTGCCAAATCAGAAATTACATAAAATAATATTTGAAGTGATAAAAAAAGGTTATAAACGTGAAAATAAATCAGCTTCGAAATTAATACACTGCTTCTCATTTGGTACTGTTTTATTAGGTATAACAACTTTACAATCGATACTCAAGAAAGCGAGCAGAATAAATAAACATTGTAATGTCAGTGTTCCATTGAAGAGGTTCAAAGAAACATTTTTTTTCCCTCTTCATAATTTGTCAAATTTTCCAATATGAAGCCATGTGGATTCAACTCAGTTAAAGGTTATCTTCAAAGAACCACAAAAAAGCTCTACAAGATAGAGCAAACTACAGTGAAAGTGTTCAAGGCCCAGCCAAATTGTCAAAGATTTGAGAAGAATGGTTATTCTGCAAGCTATATCAATAAACTGGCAAGCATACACATAGCACGTCAAAATAAAAAGAAGAAAAAAAAGGCAACAAGGGTTGTGTATGGTTAGGAAGTCCTTACATATAACAGCTTTTCTTCTAAGGCAATATAAACTAAACTGAGCATAGAAACCAGCCATACATAATAAGTTCCTCCTGAGGTCAACAAAAGTTCATTGGCTCTGCAAGATGAGGAGGGCGCATGCACACTCGGACTTCATGTTCTTCAGGTCCAACACGATGCTTCGGCACCATAATCTCCAGAACAGCTCCAGTTTCATCGTAGTAAGCTTCCAACTTCGCATCTTCAGGAATACGCGTAGGTAGAGATATCTCCCTCGTGAATTCACCAGGAGGGCAGTGTTCAGGAGAAGGATCTGCCAGCGTGAATGTTCTATCATGTCTCTTTATACAAGGCATTCGAGCCGTACTAACACAAAATATCTTAACTATTCCATGGGTAAGAGTGTTCCTCCATGACACCTTTACTCTCTGCTGATCAGATAAAGGCATGCTAACCATAATAAGGTATCCTTCATCATCCTCGTATATTGTCTTTGCAGCAGTAACTGGCCCACAGGCATGTCTCATCACACCGCTGAACTCATTCAACCATGGAGGTTCAAAAGCATGCATCTCAATCTCCTGAACCCTGTCTGAATACGAATTGTTAGGAGAGCAGAAGTCTTCCTCCATTCCATGAGGAAACAAATCCCTCTTGCGCTTGTTGCAGGAAGAAGGAAGGTCAATCCCATTAGCAGTTGAATGATTTGATGTCTGCGTTGATAAGTTCAGTCCAGAACCATTAAGCGACTTCCTCTGATGTTGATGGGAGGATGTGGACTTTACCGAAGGTGGCGGCCTCTCAATCTCAAAATCTGAAATGGGTTGATTCCTCCATGATGAATAATCACTGGCCTCTGTTGGTATTGAGAAATTAAGCTCCCTTCCTGTGAGCTCTATCCATTTCTTGTGATCAGCCTCAGAAACAACTGATAGATTGGGAAGCCTCACAACCTCAATACCGTGAACACACTGTGGATTAGAAAGACCTCTGTATTGCTTCCGCTGCATCCGGTGTGATCGAACAAAGCCCTTCTCAACACTGAAAGGGAACTGAGGCTCACCATTACGAGAGTGGCCATTCATGAAGCTCCTCAATTGCATCTTACCAAGAGAATTTTCTGGCCTTTCCTTGAACACCCACATGTACATGTTCTCCATGTCATGTTGAACCAAGAAAACATCAAGCCAAAGGTCGGACTTGTCAAATCCAGAGAATCCAGATCCATCCCATATGATCTTTCCCTTGGATTTCTCAGAAAGGACAGGCTTGAAGTAAAAATTAAAAAAGAACCAGGCGCCCCATATACCATCTCCACGCTTGCCACATTTTCGAGATCCAAACTTAGGAAGGATGACAGTGGCATCAGCCTCATATATTTGAGATCCGAGGCCAACATCAAGCATCTCACAGTGATCGAGGTTCCAATTCTGCTGGGGAGGAGAGCGCTCCGCAGAGAGTGGGAGGTTGATGTCCGGCGGACCAGGCAGCAGGAGTTGTTGGCGTTGAATCATCATCTCGCGATCAGAATCATCATGCGAAGGATTTGTTGCAGCAGGCAACGGGCCTCCGATAGGATCCATTGAAAGAAGAGTGGATGGATGGTGGTTCTCCATGGACAAGGAGGTGAGCAGGGATTCACCCATATGGCTTTCACCCTATCATCCTTTTTTTCTGGTTTATATGATTTATCGCTGAGGAGTTCCTCCTCCTCTTCCCCTGAACCCTATCCGTCTGGCGGAATCCGAATTCCACCACACTCAAGAAAAGCATCCCACAGGAAAACCAGCATCCCACAGCAGGAAAACCTCACAATTCCATTCCATAAATACACCACCCAATTTCAATCAGATTAAGAAACCCCCAAAACCAGAAACCCAAGTTAAATTGAAAGTTAGAAGAAGTTTTTATTTTCTATATGCTATATTTTCCCTTTAGGCAATTGAAAAATCCCTAGCTGACCTAGACGAAGGAATAGTAACCAGGACGGGAAATCAAGTTTGAAAAATCAGAGCGGAACATTACACTAAGAATCTGGACATAAAGGATAGGAACAAGAGGGAAACCTCAACGCTAAAACGACTGCGATCGCTTGGAGATGGTTACCTCAGCGACAACGGAGGCGGCAGCTAGGGTTTGCATACCGGATAGAAGAAATCCTCCACCGCCATACCCAAGGATGCGAGCTTTTCCCATTTAGGGCAGCGATTCGAGAGAAAACGAGAGACGACGAAGCGAAGGAAGAAAGAAGGAGACGGCAGAAGGGTTCGCTTTATGGTGACGGTGAATCGCACGCACCCTCCACCGGATGAGGCCGACATTGCCGTTAGAGAACGGTGAACGGTGACGGCGATGGTTTCCCAAATTTTTTTTTTATTTTTTTTTTGAGAATTATTTTTGTCCCGGTCATATTTAATAATAATATAAAAGAAAATAAATGCTAACATTACAACGTGTCTTGTCGTCATTAATTTTTATTTTTATTTTATACAAATAGATTTTTTTCGTTTTCGAAAGCAAATAGACATTTCTAATTACGCTTATTTGAATCCAAATTAAATACATGTATTTTAGGAATGCTTTTATTTATTTTATATTTTTGTAATGTCCTAAAGAAGAATTATGTGAGCATGATAAAGCTTCATTCAATTTGCATTTAGATAAATGCTCTATAGAAATTATGTATGGTACATATATTTGCATGTGTTGATAATAGTGGCTCACTTTAATCTAAATGTTCTAAATTATGTGCATTGCAAAGTCTAAAATGAATATTACACAAAGTTTTAGTTATTTGTATATTTATGAGATATATTGTTTTTCACCTTCTATGGATGTAGAAAAATAATGAATCATATTTGGACTTTTTTGTATTCATATGTATATTTTGTCATCATTTTCTTTTGAATTTTGAAGCTTATGCATAATAAATTAAAATTAGAGCCAAGTTGATTGATCTATAAAAAAAAATTAGGTGGTTAAAAGCATCTATAATTATATTTAAAAGTTGGATTCATCATGTATAGTCTAATGATCAAAATGATGTGTTAACTAAATATAAAGTTGTCATTAGAAGAAGATCAAAATTTTGTCAACATGAGTTTATCTAGTTAAAGCTTTTGGTAACACAATCAAGAAGATGATGTTCGTCAAGGAGATATATAAGTTGACCATATAAGTCATATAAGTCATAAACACAACTCAAGCTAGTTTGAGTTAACTAAGAACTTGACATGGCCTATCTTGCCAATCTATTTTGCTAGTTTCATTCAAGATGAAGCACTCAAAGTTTGTTCTAAATGATTAAGAAATCGCTTAACCAATAAGACAAGCATACCAAATAATTCAAAAAGATCATTGAGGTTCACAAGAGGTTCCATGTAGAGAAACAAACTATGTGATGCAAATTTAAAGGTGAAGGAATTTAATGACATTAAGAAAATTGGGATATGGTAATAAAAGTATTGGAGCTTTTATTTTAAGAATGATTTTAAATTGTTTTGGGACTTAAGCCCAAGAACATGTTGAATTAAGACCTGAACTTTATGAATCATGAAGCTTATGGACAAATTTTATTATGCTTAACAAAAGACTAGTGCATGGTTATGAAGAAGACTTTGGCAACAAGTCCTTAGAAGATATTAGAGGGCAAGTATATGATAAAAAAATATAGAGAATCAATATTATTTGATGAAGATGCTCTTTTATTTGTTAGTATAAATAAACTCTATAAGTGATTAAACTTGTTAACAATTTCAATAAGATTCTTACTAATTTTCAAAACATAACTTTAAAATTAGTGATGAAGAAATGACACAATTATTATTAAATTGGCCACTTTAAATTTTAAGATATTTTAACAAGTATTTACTATATGGTAATTATGAGGTTAAATTTAATGATATTTCTAATACTTTAGTGGAAAAAATGAGTACGGAGAAAAGGATCAATTTAATCATAAAAATATAACAATTAAAAAATAAATGATAATTAAATTATAAAAAAAAATTCGATGGGTGAGATAAATCTCACTTATAGTCCAAAAAAAAAAAAAAGAAAGAGATGTCATTTAAAGGATGAATTTGTCTATCATTTTCTTTAAAGATAATAAAATTATTGTTCAAATAAGGAAAAAAATTAAATTAGGTTGCTTGACAGTCAATTGACCCACTAGGTTGGGCAAATTTGAGCTATATTTGTATGTATGCATAGTTTAATTTAGTTCAAATCGGCTAACTTAGGTTCCTAGGACTTTAGGCTAAGCCAATTGTCAATTTAATTTAGATAGAACAACTTAATTAAATTAACTAAGAGGTTGGCTCGAACCAATTTGTTCTACTTGAATGAATAAACATAATTGGATTTAATGGATTCATGGATTTTTTTTATTTATTTTGGTTAAGTTAGGTCAGTTGGGTTCATTTGGCTCAATAATGTGTCAATTGAGTTTAATTGGCACTGTGAATCACCTAAATCAATTGCATATATTAGTTAAAGTCAATTTAACCAATTTGTGTAAGCTGATCTTAAAGATTTAAATGAGTCATATTTTGGTCAATTAGGTAAATTAATTCAATCTAGTTGATTCATATGTCAATTTAACTTAAGTCAAATATTTTTAGTCTTTTTGGATCACTAAAAAGATTTATCTAATCAAGTTTGGCCAAACTAATCATAATAGCTTATGAAGTTTAACTAGGTCAATTTGGGTTTGAAAAGCGAATTAATGATTTATTTATGGTTTACATATTATGTATCAATGCAAGCTTCAGTCAAATCAATTTTATCTATTTGATGAGTTTGTACATTTTAGTCAAATAGGCTAACTTGAGTTAGCAATAATTCAAAGAATTCATTAGCCTAATCTGAGAATTAATTTATCTAAATTAGGCCATTTCAAATATTTTAGGACATATTAGAGTTAATTTATCTAAATCATGCATAATAGCTATATTTTCTTTAATGCTTCTGTGATTTAAGAAATTTGATTTCCTTGTTGTGATTTCCATGAGTTTTTTACCAAAACATTTTATGTTATTTTCAATTTGGCATGTTGATGGGTTAACATTTTGATTAATATTTTCTCATGATTTGACCAATTATGATGTTAAAACCTCTTGTAATATAGAACTTTTAACTGTTGACTAGAAGAACAAGTAAGCAATAGCCTAGTGGAATAAACATAGTCATTACAAACTTGTAACCTAAATAGGGGACTGCAGGATTCTTGAGAAGTTGCACGGTTAAATCCCCTTAATTGTAATAAGGTTTCCAATATTTTTTATGGCCTATACATAGGCTAATAAGGACTTATTCCTAGTTGTCAACAATCATGTGGGAAACTTATAGTAAAAACATCAAGGAATCGCTAGGCCAATGTCACAAGAGCACGAGCCTCATCACTTCTAAAGAATCTCAAAGATTTTAATGATGTTTTCTGAATTTTGCATTGAGATTTTAGAACATTTTATTTTCTGTAAATCCGAACTTTCAAATTGAACTTAGCGGTGTAGGAAACTAGAACTTAGCATATTAGAAAAGTTTTAAATTTTTTTTTGTGAGATCAGTATGCGGATTTTAATTTTGTATATTACTTGATTGACATGTATACTTGTATGGTTAACCAATTATTTCACAACAATTTCGAACGTCACTTATACATACAATCCTCCAACGGTAGGCCTTGGAGGCCTACATATGCTTAGTTAGAATGTCAGTGATTGATAATCTGGGTTAAATTGATGAATATTAAAAAAAAGGGTCAATCATTGAGATTATATGCATGTTGGTCATCAGGTAAATGTGCATAAAATGATGATGGAGTTTTTTATAGACATCATCAAACTGTTATATGAAAAAAAAATTACGGCATTAGAATAAAAAAATTATTTAAAAGGCACAATAATGAAAAAATACAAGTGAATTAAAGTTTTTTTTTATTTTAAAAATCAAAAAAAGCAAAAAATTATGAGGTCTGGCCCATATGAAGTGATATGCTATTTAAAGTTATAGAGTTCAATCATTTTCTTCAATTGATGAAGATACAATTACAAAATAATGTGTCCAAATTTCATCTTTTATAGCTATAATAAAATTGAAAGTAATGGGGGAAGAAAATAGTAGTTTAGCGACAACAATTAGATGAAAATGATTGAGCAATAATGATTGGCAACCGTAGTCAAACAATGATGGTCGAGAATGATGATAATTTGACAATAGTGACTGTATGATAGCCATGGGATGAAAACATTTGGATGATAGTGGCTAGACAACAATAATAGTTTTTGTTGGTAGTTGATAATGTTGACTGTCAGATAAAATTTCAAAATTCTTTATATTTCTAAGCTCTGTCCAAACTCATGTCCCGATCCTCCTATGTGAAGAGTAAGAGTCTAATTTTAATTTTTGAGGGTGACACTTTAGTAACATTGGCCAAAGTCTCAAAAAAGCTACATCAAAGATGTTTTTTTTATTAATCATAGACCATTCATTCAATATTTTACAATATTAATGACCTTAAAGTTAAGGTTTCGTTTGAGATAGCTTATTTAGTGAAGTGGTGTTTTGAAAACGTAACTGGACTGTTTGGGTAAACTGCGTTTTGGCAGCTTATGCGTTTTGAAAACGCTGAAGGCAACATTTTCACACCGCACATATCTAAGTGCGGTGACAGCTTTCTGACAACGGATTGATTGTTCAAAAAAAAAAAATTTCTAATGGCCATCGTATATAGCTTATCAACAGATTATTTTTAATCAGTTTATCAGCAGATTATTTAATAA